CTCTCTCTTTCTCTCTCGCCGCCGCCGCCGCCGCCGGGCCCCCGCGCGCGGGTGACGTCAGGCTCCAGCCCCCCCTACAGGTGTCGTGTCGACCGGGACGCGCCGAGAGCATTGTCTTCCCGGGCGCGCGGACGCGCTGGCATAAGTCCTGCCAACATTCGTCTAGCTTTGCTAGTTTCTTACATTTTCTAGCCGCAACTTTCCTAACCGCAACTTTAAAATTCGAGCCCTCGCGCGTGCAACGCCCCCCTCCACATTTTTCTTTGCCGTGGGCATTTTTCGGCGCGCGGGCGCGCGGCTGCAGAAATCCCCCACCCGAGTTCAAGGATAGAGAGACGGTGGTCATGAAACGCACGGCGACTGTCTGCGCCTCGTCCCCCCCCCCCTCTCCTCTCCCCTCTCCCTTCCTCGCGTGTGACCGTCCGGCTGGCCGCAGCCTTTTGACCCTGACTTGAGTACTCCGTCTTGGTCAGGCCAGCGTGCCATTCCGTCTCATCTGTTGTGCAGGTTGCAGAATACAGAAAAAGAAATGTTGCAGAAAAAAGGGGGGGAAGGAAAAAAAGGTCATTTTGGTTGACATGAATCAACTCGTTTTGCAGCTAAGAACCTAGACCACCAACAAAATGGTACTCTGACTAAAAATTTCCCAGTTTTTTTCGGGGTGGTGGTAAAGTTCTTTTTCAAGTCACAGGAGTAACAGGCTCAACCAATAATTCGACTGACTAAACCGGTGCATATATTTTTATTAAATACAACTTTATTAATTATGAGGACTTTGTTTCTGTTTCTTTCCTTTTTAGCAGATGATACCTTAAAAACCAAGGGAATCCAGGAGAAAATTTGAAAACAGACATATTCTTAAATTTGTATCATCTGCTTTCAAGATAGATTCTTGATTGAGATTTTTGTCTTTGGCACTTGAAGTAATTCAGAATCAAAGATAATCGAAGCACTGAACACAATCACAAACACAGATCAGTTTGGCAAACTTCCTGGCCTGCCAAAAGGCCGGGGAGAACTCATATTTTACAAATTCCACCGAGAATGGAAGATTTTTCACAGTGTGCGCGGCATTCCTGGGGTAGCAAACGAGGGCAGAAGACAAAGCCTGCCCCCCTCCCCTTCCCGCCCAGCAGCCCCTAGCCTAGCGGCGGGCAGCACGCCGACGGCCGGTCCTAGACAGTGACTTGCCATAATGTGCAGAGAGAGAGAGAGAGAGAGAGAGAGAGAGAGAGAGAGAGAGAGAGAGAGAGAGCTGCCAAATGAGAGGCGGACCGCAGCGCGAAAGGTGGCTGTCTCGCCACCGAAAATGCAGTTTGACGCGCCAACGCGCAGTAAATTTACGAGTAAAATGCACACACACTCACACACAGGCATAGGGGTGCTGTCAAACAGCATCAAGTGATGGTCTTGTCTGACAAGTATTAGTGCACCGTGCGCCGAAGGGCGGACAAAAAGTCAAAACAAGTGAAACGTAAAACACAAATTGATGAAGTTCTGTGAATATACTCGTTCTTAGGCTTCAATTGCCACCCTTATTGTGGTAGGGTCACGGTTCATCCTCCGAAAATACGCGTCCGCGTCATTCGTCGTTCAAGCAACATGCTGCCCAGGCCCAGTTTGGGCTTATGGAAGTTCTCATAGCGCCTGGTAGGTAGGCAACATCTTGCCTGCAGTGCGTGCGTGTACGGCGGGGTGGCCTACCCTGCCTCTCGCAGGCGCCGAGCTACCCCCGTCATTTGCCGAACGAGGAAAACAGACGTACTTTTACTTGTAATCCGACTAGTATGCTAAGGATTATAAAAACTTGCACCTCGAGGAGCTTTCAGAACTTATTAGCAATCGCTGCATCAAAAAATTTTACTGGAAAATTTGCCTGGTAGACTAATTGCTTAAGTTTTGCGCTGTTGTACATAATCTAGAAATTCTTTAATATTAACGTAATTATATTACTAGGAAAACGTTTAGTAATACTAGCAAAACGTTTAGGGATACTAAATAATTTCTTATGTAACAGCGAAAAACTTTAGAAATCACTAGAGGCAAATTTTCTCGTAAAAACTTTCGAGTGCGGAATGCGTTTTTCGGCCCCTAGAGGTTCCGGTCGTGTCTCCGTTACCTTCTGCCCTCACGCGGCTGCCCGGCGGCCGGCAGCGTGCTTCCGTCACCCCATTTGACGTCAGTGCGACTGTCGTCGTCCTGAGGCCAAGCCCGGCCGGCCAGCCAGGCCAGGCTCGATTGTCATTGTCAGTCATCTCAAGGCGAGCCGGGGGCATGCGCCGGCTTTTCCCGCTCCCGCGCGCGGATTTTTATGGCGGGACTATTCAAGGATGGCGGCGGAGGAAAGCATCTCGCCGCAAGGGTCATTTCTTATTTAAAATATATTTTTTGCAAAAGTGGGGTTATAGAGTACGGCCGACGGCTGGGCATGGTTTCCAACGTGATGCGATGCGAGTCAGGGTTGTGACGTTTTTCAGGTTAGGTTGGCATGACATATAATGACATATTCTGTAGGAAAAGTCGTGGTGGGTTTAGAATCCCGCGAGCTATATTGTATTGGTCGCCGAGAACGGTACAGACGCCCCGTTGCACTTTGGACGCTTTGATTTCTGAGACGGAACAAGGGGCGCGGTGTGAGCCAGGTTACGGGGAGGAGAACTGCGTGACAAAGTTTGGCGAGAGGGTCTTGCGGACGGCCTTGGGGTGCTTCGGTGCAGACTGAGCACCGCGCGCTGCACCGCGACTGACATGCCCTAACCTCCAATGGCGGGTTAAATTTGGACGGGGAGTGGCTGGCTAGAGACCGGGCCGGGAGAGGACCTCGTAGAGAACTCGGAGGCGGAAACCCGCGGCGCGACTTGAACTCGAGAAAGGATTCAACTGAAGGTAAGGCAGCCACTTTTCTGCCGCGGCGGCGCATCCGTCTGAATAAGCGAGAAGGTGAGGCCAGTCACACTCGAGGGGAGGTTAGGGTTGGCCCAAGTCGGGCACGGGCAGGCGGGGGCCGTCCTTGCGTCCGATGTTAGTTCAGTGTTGGTTTATTGTGGATGCAGGCCAGAAGCGGCTAGTTTGTGGATCATCTCCGCCTTAGCCGTGGCGGCGGGACGCGGGCGGGCGATTCGTAGGCCACGCCGCTGCCGGCCGGCCGGCGGGCCCGGCGCAGGGCGGCGGCGGTCACAGGGATTTATTTCGGGAATCCCGCCGCTTTTAAACACTGCAACGCCCCGCGCCGCGCGCCGCCCGCCCATTGTGGCCATGCGAACGTCTGATCAGGGCAGCGGATGGCACGGCGGTGTACGCACGCGCAAGTACGGAGCCGGAGTCAACAGCGCACCAGTGGTGACTCTTCGAAGTATACGCTTGTGTAGCCTGGTAGCTTGGTAGCTGAACGTAGTATTTAATACATGGTGCATTCCATGTTGCCCCCGGTGCACTGGTTTCTTTACAAACAATTACATAGAAACAGTCCTGCTTTAGTTCCGATGTACACTAAGATCCCCCCTTTAAAAAGGCGAAAGCGGCGAGCTGGCTTACAAAAGTTCGTAAGAATGAGTAAACAAATTCATTTGAAATTTTAGTGTTTACAGACTCTACTGAGGCTGGTTTAGCGAAACTTTCAACAAGCAAAATTTGAGATAACTATGTTTTGCGAGTCCCATATTTAAGAGCATGACAACTTGCCATCGCAAACTGAATTGCGACCAAAGGTGCAAAAGGTGTAGGAAAACAAAAATGTTTGCAATGCTCTATCAAGTTATCTCAAGGTTTTGTGATACCACGTTATTGCAATGTTTTGGCAACGACCTATAATTTTATTTGAGTTCAATTTCCAATAAAAGCAACATGGATTTCAGAGCCTCTGAGTACATCCCGAGTATTGGAGGTGGCGCGGAGGTGGAGCACACCTGGAGTACGTCCGCTCGCCCAGGGTTACGCACACGAGTCGACCACCCCCTCGGCGGCGTGACCCTGTCACCTGACAACCAAAATAACGCGCGCGAGTTGTAAGGTTGGCTATTATGGAGCGCCGCCCCGCACCGCCCCGGGCGTTCAAGGTTTACTATTGGTCGGCGCTGCTCCTCCCCTCACCTTGTGACCGCTCGCGACCGCCGCCCACGGGGGCGATAAACGACCACTATTTCTGAACGGGCTCAGCGCAGCTCAGCGCCGAAGATGTTGGTCTTCTGTCACTGCCTTGCTTCCCTCTGCTCACGGCCTTGGGCGTGCAGTGTCAGCGGGCGGAGGTCGGGGTGGTGGGGAGCAGCGTGCGTCGCGCTCCCAAAGCTTTTCGCCTATCGCTCCGATAAACGTGTGAATGATCGTGACTCTTTTTTTTTTGTAAAAGGTTAGGGGTCGTTGCACATTCCATACGCTGAGGTGGGGTACAAATAACATTCATGTTCACCCGTCATAAACTTTGTTGGGCAACTTCTGTGAATCATAGCGACGCCATGATTTTGCACCCCAGGGATATTAATATCATGGGGTCCCTATGAGTGCATATCGGACCCACGGGTGGTATGATAAATGTAACCCACGTCTGGAGAGTGTGCCCTACACACCAATGACACAAAGACGGCTGTCACAGTTAACAAAAAAAATAACAATGTATTTGTCGGCGATGACTTATAAAAAAAACTGTACAAAATTCTAAGGTAGCACTAATTACGTGTCAGTCTTAACAACTGCTGAACCTGGCCAGATTGGAACAGCTACGAACTTACACCACAGTAAGCCGATATCACTCTAACCGAAAATAGAGTGCGGAGATCATCAAATATGAAGATGTGTTGTAAAAAACGTATTTCAAAAAATTAAATATTCTCCACCTAATCTGAACTGCTTTGCTCCGCCACCGTGAGGACTTGCACGAAGACGACGTGCTCACCACGCACGAACAGCTGACCGATGTGCCGCACGCACTCCTGCGGATCAGAACAATCAACGATAACAATCAACAACAAATAAAAATAATGTATATAGACGCGGCCGCGAACTAGGAATAATCGAAAATTAGAATAAAGCGTGGGACGCTCTCGGGGCGGCCAAGGCTCCCGCTGGAGCTCGTTATGAGAGCGCTGATTGCGTGGACGGCAGGGTGCCGACATTGAGCAGTGTGTCGCTCAAGGCCAGGTCAGTACAGCGGGGCGCACAGTGCGGTTAAAACTGTCGCGGATCGAGCTCTTCAAATGGCGGGACTCTATCAAGTGCAGTGACACTCGTTTTTTCACTGTAACGATCCTTTCTTGCAAGAGCCCGTCTCTTGTTATTCTCACACAAGGTTTTTTTATTTCGACGAATCGTTAACGGACACGTAGAAGCAAATCACCCAGAGAATCGGAGCTTTAATTCAGAGTTTAAGAAATGCTTATTATGAATGAAAAACAGACTTCTACGATTCAAAGAAGCGTTCTCTGAATTAAAAGTAAAGCCTATACGTACTGAAAACTCTTCTTTTTTTAGACCAGAAAAGGCTCAATGCTTCAAGGGAACACAATCTGTATGACTATGTAGAAGATGAAAGTTTTGCTTATCTTTCTTTAGTTTAAAGAAAGAATTCTCCAGGTGATGAAATTCAACTTAGGAGTGAAAGCACAGCGCAAGGAACAGCAGACATGACCGAAACTACCGCCTCAAACTGCCGTTCGTCTCAAGAAATTACAAGTTTTGTGAGGTACAAAATGTGTAGAAAATTAGTGTATATATGTATTTGCCGTAGCACAAATGTGCTTTTCTGAATGCAAGAGTATTGCATTGCATTGGGCTAATGAGTAAATTCCTTGTTGCAAGAGCGGGCTTTTACCGGGTGTATAGAACAGAAAGGGTGGGTGTTAGATGAACTTTGAGTTGTATGCCTCTGTAAAAAAAGGCCATAAACAGCTGTAAATTTGCTACCATTTAGTGCCATTATTAGTTTTAATGCATTTGTACACCCAGAAGAATGATTTTGTATCACGCACAGAGCTGTGAGCTTTATCGAAATGTGCTTAAAACAAGTGAGCATTTATCTGGGTGTGAAAGCACTGACATCTTTTAAAGGTGCGACTCCAATAACCCCAAACACCTCTGTCTTTAGTAGGGCTCACCTGTCGCTTGCCGCACGCCCTGTAGAACACCTTGGGCAGGGGGATCCAGTCGGCCAGCTCCTCCCTAGAGCGCTTCCCCCGGCCCTTGCCCCGGCCGTGCTGCAGCTCGCGCAGCGGCACCAGGTCCGCGGGATGGGGCAGGCCCGTCGTGGGCCCCGCGCCGACGTGCCCCCGGCCGCGGCCGCGCCCCCGGCCCACCGGCTGCGACACGCACACCTCCGCTAGGTCGCTCGTCACCTCCCGAACAATATCATCCGCTGCAACAGACGATTTCAGATGGTGATGGCTAAAGCATAGAAAGAGCAAAGTTTAAAAATGTACATGCTCATAAAGCAATATCAAAGAAACACGAAAATGCCTCGAAACATAAAGAAATGGTTTAAAATGCACCAAGCAATCAGCAGAATCGATTAATTCTTCCCTGCCTAACCCCCCTTGCCTTTAACTACTAAAATTTTTGTAATCCAGCAGGTGTATAACAGTAGGCTTAACACCATTTATTTTAGTTAGCTGGTCAGTAATTAAGGAGATTTATATCTAGTTGACACTTTGACTTTACATAAATATTTATATATTTTTATTTGTAGTCTGGGCGTTTTAAGTTATCATCTGCTAAAACCGTCGATTCTGGTTGCAGCTCATAATTTAAACACCAACGTGCGCAAGTTATGATTTTAAACATTACATGGTGTTCAACTCACGATGCAGACTTGGACACTCACAAATCTGTAGGAACCATATGGTGTGCAGCTGCTATACTTTTCGGAAGTGTCGAAAGTTCAAACACCAATTGACGTTTAAGCTAGCACCGTAATGGCGTAATGTGTTGAGAAAGAGCACACTACTTCAACTTAAACACCAATTGAAGTGCAACATTAAACACTTGTTTTGCCAGCGAACAAAGTGAAAAAATCCCATCGCTACTTTGAACCCGGTGCGAGGCTGCATAGACGAGGGCGGAATGTGAGAAGGCCGGGCAGTCACCCAGGAAGGAGTACGGTGCAGCGCTGCAAGGCTATGCAGCCGCTGTGCCTCGGCTATGACTCGCCGGCGGGACGGCTAGGCTATGTGCGCCGCGGCTAGAGTCTTACACGTCCATCTCCCATTATTTATCTTCATGCGTCACGTTTTTAAAATAAATACGAAGGTAAAATAAATACCAGGGTAAAATAAATACAAGGGAAAAATTAATACGAGGGAAAAGTAAATTTTTAACAAATAAAAATAAATAAAAGTAGCCGAATTACACGTCTTGCGTAACAGGCTTCGTGAGACGAAATTTGCGGTTCTCAGTATTCAGTACACGATGAGGGAGGATTGGCAGAAAAAAAAACAAACAAACAAACATGAGGAACAGATTTCAAATCATCTTCTCTTTGCTGTCTTCATAGTTTTGGAGGTAATTACTCCGAATAACTCCGTGCATACACACGATTCCCCATGTATCCCGGATCTTGGGTCTGGGTACACGTAATTCCAAGAGTTCCCCGGTTTTACATGCATTTAAAAAACAAAAACAAATTTGCAAACAATTGACGGGCTGCATTGAAATTTTAACTATAATTAAGTCTGTTCGATTGTTTGCACTTCGTTAGAAAACGCAAGTGCAACGACAGGCAAAAGTGGCAATGTACTAAAATCATATTTGATTGCAAGCTAAAGAAGTACAAGAGGAGGACAACAATCCCTACCCCCCAAAAACCGAACTGGCTCCAGCACAGCGGATCGGACAGAAACCGCAATAACATGTTTGCAAAGTGTTTGGCACGGCCCTAGCGGACCACTTGAAATAAATTCGTTAGCACTTTTGTATGCACTGCGCAGCCGGCGTTATGCGACGGCCTGCATAACTCGAGAGCTGCATAACCCTTCCCGGCCCGCGGCGCGGCGTGGCGCGGCGGTGCACCGCGCTGCACCGCGCCGCACCTCTGCATCCTGATACTGCAGTTGTTGTGCAAGCGGTGGATCCGTCACTGCAACAAACTGCACCCCGGCGCTGCAGATCCAATGCGTCGTAAATCAGAGGCGCACGACTTCGGCGCCAAAGGGTGATAGAGGTCTTTTTGGATCGACTTGAAAGAGAAGCGATCCAGTGAAGAGGCATCTCAACTCGGCGCCAGTTGTTATATAGCTCGGACTATCAGCAGTACAATAAATGCATTAAATGTCAATTTCTTTAAGGTAAATTATTGGGCAGAATAAGTAAATAGATAAGTAAATAGATAAGTAAATAGACATAACGAGAGAGAGAGAGAGAGAGAGAGAGAGAGAGAGAGAGGCGTGGGGGGAGCTACGAGAAGAGCGAGACAGATAGAGGAAGTAATGCCCCCAGCGGTGCGCGGACCGCTTGGCCTCCACTGCCAATAGCCGCACGGCCGTCTAGATCCCGCCCCCCCCCCCTCCTTCCCCTCCTCACGACCCGCTAGACTGGGCTGGACAGCATGGCGCGCACAGCTTTCACTTGCACTTTTGCAGCCAAGCAGTTGCATCGCGTTGCAGCACGCTGCAGCACGCTCCGTGGGTGGTAACGTCACAGACTCCCTTCCTCCTAGCCTCGTCTTCCCCCTCCTCCCCCACCTCCTAGATCTTTCCAGGAAATTGATAAATATACTGATGATTTTAATGAATCGTAGAAATAAACAATAACATTTCAAAGAAAGCATGACATTTCTAGAAAACATTCGAAGAGTGGGTTTTCATAATTTTAAAAAAAGCGTTCTAGTGTTAACGATCGCCCGCGCGTTAGTGATAACGTGATTGTGAGCCCCTTTTTGTAATTTCTGGTGTCAGTCGTCGGTGCACTTGGCAAATCATTTTGCCAACAGGAGTACGCCAACAATCATTGCTTCCGAAAGGCCAACTAAACATTCTCAAAAGGTATAGATACAGCCAAGACGGCAAGACAAGGCCAAAGATATTTGAAGTAATTGTTTGTTATATGGAGTCCGCTGCTGAGAATGGACTCGGCTTACGCCGCGCGCTGATACGGCAAAACTCTTTGGCTGGGATTAAAAAGGCGCGACTAGCCATGTTGGGATGTGCCGGAAGAGCGAGCGCGCCGCGAGGAGCGGTCAAGGACTCGGGCCCAAGGACCCGCCAGGCCCGCGCACGAGGAAAAGATGCGCGGCGCTGGAATGGGGCACCGGAGTCGGCAAGAAAACCACAACACTGATGAATAAAGTGTTCAACTACCAGTTGAGCACTTTACAGTGTTCAACTACCAGTTTAAAGAGTTCAACTGGTTATTTTGTGCATTTGGAAGAGTGTACACGGAAAAAAATATGTAAGTTAAGCCAACTAAATGTTAGCTGCCTTAGCATTTGTGTTTGCTAATATCGTGACAAGCAAGTTTTTCGGCTACCACAGCGAAACGTTTGCTGTCACAGCGACGTATCAGCTGTGAGAGCTAATGCTTTACCTGCAGGAGCAAATGCAATGTCTGCTTCAGTTGATTGGGGATAATCTACCAGAACGAGCACTAAAGCTAATACAGATAAGCATTAGCTGCCCTAGCTAATTCTTGCACACAGGAGTCAATTATTAGCTCCGGTAGCTTAAAAGTTGCTTGTCACGATATCAGCAAACATATCAGCTGTGCGAACTTACATATTTTTTTCCGTGTATATGTCGGTAGTTATTGTGCAAGTTTAAGAGTTCAACTCCTCTGTTGATCACTTTTCATCTATTGGATGCACTATGTTTGGGAAGTGTTCGTGTTCAACAGAGGAGATAACAATTTTCAGTGCACAACTGACAACAGTCGCACACTTTAAAGTGTACAATCGATGGCACAGTAAAACTAGCAGAGGCACACTTTAAAGTATTTTAGGTTTGAACACTTTATTTACCAGTGCATCCGCCACTAGAAAATAAAACAATTTCATTACTCTATGGGGCTGCTTTGAATGCCAACATTTTGGCATTGCCATTCAAAAGTCAATTATTGGGAGTGCTAATCTTGTTATTCTTTGTTGGATGGTGAATTTGGAAATGCAAAAGTAGCTATGCAGAGATTTTACAGCAGCCACATCAAATAAATCTTTTTAACATTGACAGCTTTCGTTGCGAACTGCTGCTAAACCTTCCAACTAGCGTTACTAATTTATATTTTGTCTTTTTTAGGTGAGGATCCTGAGGTACTAATCCGCCAAGGAGTGGCATCGCGTATCAATCAGGTAGTAAAAAGATTATTGAGAGAACTGCCAGGTGAGCCCCGTATCGTTAAGTGCGTATCAAGTGCTCACCCTGGAAGTAGTCCTTGGCGCGCGCCGGCGACGACCTGTAGAAGACCTCCGTGACGTCACTCAAGGCCAGGTTCCAGTGCTTGTCGAACAGTTCGACGTAGCCCTCCAGCCGGCCGTGTACGCCACACGCATCCCTTGTCACCACCTGCAGGAGTGTAACACAGAATCGTCAGACGGAATGCAAAAACGAACCGATATTTTTGTCCTTGGCTAGAAGTGGTTGGGTACACATGCAAACACATTTCCTAGCAGCACCTGAAAAAAATTAACAAAAAAGTCTTAAGCTACAGGGACGATGATGGGGACGATGCAATAATCTCACGAAAAACAAAACATTTTCACTCATGTATTTTATCAACTATCAACGAGCACAAGTTGTCATTAATATTGCATATTTTCTTTAACGCAGTAGTAGACAAACAGATATGTTTTTAGACATGTCTTTAATAGATGGAAAAAAGAAAGCTAAGACTTAGTTCCTTTTAAAAGTGGCAAAATTTTACTGCGTTTACAAAGGCACGATACTGTCTAATAAGTGAACATAAATTGATCCTCTTTTTTATTGCCTCTGCAGGGCTGCTAATTTGTAGTGGCACTTTTAGCACTCCTAAAAGCTAAGAGTCGTACCAGTTTTTCTCCTAAGTTTGCAAAGATAAGAACCTCAAACTCCCTGGAAGTTCACAGCCCGAGTGTGTAGCTTCGCATTTTGATAGTAACTTGTCAACAAATAATAATATGGCAGTTTAGGTGAACAATGAAAATCCATGTGGCAGCAGTAGTTACTTTTAATTATTCCTGGCGGACTAGAGTGGTTGTCTCCTGGAGACCAGCAGTTTGGCGGAGGCCAGCATCTTTATTTGATTCGGTGGGTAGTTGGTCTCCCTGCGCAGCGGGCGCGCGCGTGCGAGCCATTTAAAAGTTTTTGGCGCGCCTCCGTCTGCTCGCGGTCAAGGAGAGGTGCCGAGTCACCCGAGGGGGCCCACAACTCGGTGCAATATCATGAGAACACAAACGAGTGCATCTTCAGCAACTAAACTTACAACTGTGCTCGATTGTTGTAAATATTTTTAATGCAGTTGGCCTTCAAAGATCAACAAACTAATGATAACTTCGGTAAAATACAAATGTAAGATGTCCATCCTGCGCCACCACGCACTCTGTGTGCCAATCTTAATTAAATTCCATGCCCCTCCGTGTTACCCCGTCGTCCACACTAAAGTCTTGTGAACATTTTTATTCACAGCTTACTGGTTCCTGCGCGCGTGCTACGCTTACACACTTTTTAAAACGTTGGTATGAACAATTTTCTTTATACTGGTGCGTCATGGACGCATTTAAAATGCGTGGGTTAAACAAGAAATCAGGAAGCTGTGAACAAAACTCAGTCCATACGATCTGAGCAGCGATTTGCCGCCTGCGGTTGGGAGGTCGGCAAGCCGCCCGATACCCGCGTAGTGCTGCCTGGGCTACCTCCGAGCTCGCAGGCGGCCGCCTGAGGAAAAACGTGATAACGAATCACTCCAACGCACGGCCAGACTCAGAGGTTTCGGAAATCAACGGAATATTAGTCGCCACTCGCAGCGTCCGGGTTCTGATAAGAAACGTTTCCCCCCGCGTTTCCCAAAACTGAAATTAAAATGCAAAACAAGTTTTTTCAAAGGGGTCACTGCAATTGAAATAAATCATGTTTGGCACACTATCAAAAATAATGTACTAAAGTACAACAAATGGACGGTATGGTATGTTTGTAGAAATGAGGCACATGATCGTTGAACTTTTTTTGTTTTACACTACACTGATAAACTAAGGGTGCAACTGGCAAAACTTTTAACTGTGCAACTCCAAGTTAAATACTTTCAAGCGTGCAACTGCAAGTTGAATACTTGCAAGTATTCAACTCGGTAGGTGTGCACTTGCAAGTGTGCACCTCCTCTGTTGAGCACTTCCTACCCAGTGAGCGTTCAATATAAGTAAGTGTTCAACCGATTTTTTATCTTGCAGTTGCACACTTACAAGGTTCACGGAAAAAAAAGAATTTGTTCCCACAACTAACGATTTTGTTAACATAGACATAACAGATAATTTTTAGTTGCGGGAACAAACAAATTGCTAAATGGGAACCGAAATTCTTCTGCCACAACCAGCGCGTCGCTATGTTGTGGCAGCAGAATTTTGCTTCCCATAGCAAATTGTTTGCTCCTGCAAATAAAATTGTATGTTATGTCCATGTTAACAGAGCCGTTAGTTGTGGGAACAATTTTTTTTTCGGGTTGAGCAGTTGCACCACTTAGTTTATCGGTATAGTGCCCATAAGACTCCATGTTAAAGAATATTGTACTTTGTACCCCATTATATTTGACTCAGTGCAATGCGACCAGGCATGGACTTCACCAGTACGTGTCGTGCTTCTTTTCTGACAGTGCCTGACTCGTGTCCCTCTCACTCCTGACCGCACGCTCCGGCCCGGGGTGGAGGGCATGCCTAGGCGAATGGGGACAAGGTTATCAGTTTCGGGACGCGGAAGAGCGCCGAAGTCTCCCTGCCGGTCTTTGCGTGGGCCGTGGCTTCCTCCGGCGCAGGTCCCGGCACAAGGGCCTGCCGGGCCGGGTGGGGGCCAATCGCCGTCGTGACGGGCGCGACCCCACACGCTCCCGCACACCGGAAACCCAAAGTGTGTGAGTGTCGTACACTTGAAGAGTAAAAGTGTGAATTTTGCTTTGAAATTCATACACTTGTGCCTCTATTTGTATTGAACTACGAATGTTGTTCACACACCTACAAGTGTGCGACACTTACACATTTGGATTTTCGATGCAGTCTGATAGTCAAGGAGACTACCCGTAATAATGCTAAACGCTAAAACTTGTAAAACAGAAAAACAATATTTATAACTTAACAGTTTGAAACGGCCTATTTTGAACAAAATTAAAAAACTGTGCAAATTTTTCCTGTAAACTTTACTATTTTGAATTACAATTGTACACGACATCTTCCATGGAAAATTTTCCTGTACCGGGTACGAAAATTTTGTCACAGTGTAAATTTGTATTGCATGTTTCATATTTAAATATTTTTATGAGTCGATTGTTCGTTGTAATTTATAGTTGAGAAAATTTGTTTAAGGTACTGTTCCGACGCCCCGACGCACTACAATACACGAGCAGCCCGGCCCAAAAAAGTATATCCCCCTCACACGCCGAGTGCGATCCGGAGGTCTGTTTGAGGAACTTCCATACAAGGTGCGTGCTGTCGCGGGTGTGGTGGGGCGAGACGGGGCGTGGCGAGGAGTGGCGGGGTGGGGCGGGGCGTGGACCGTGAGCAAGGACGAAATGTGGCCGCCACCTTGCTACTACATTCTGCTCCATCCGCAACGCCCCGCCTCACCCCGCCCCGCCCCTCCACGCGCTGCACCGGCGGACCACACCGCCTCACCTTGCCTTGCACGGCGGCCTTCCTCCGCCGAAACTCGGCACAGTCCGCCCGCTGTAATTAAGGATAGAGAGGGAGAGAAAGAGAGACATAGAGAGTGAGGGAAAGAAATAAAGAGAGTCAGAGAGTGAGAGAAAGAGAGAGACAGGGGAGGAAATGGTGGGAGAGAAAGAGATAGAAAGTCCATTATGAGCAAGGACTCAGGCGGTGAGTCCTTTCGGACGACATCATGGACTAGGAGAAGCTTTGTATCGCTTTGTATTAGTTACATGAACTACTTCTTCTTCTTCTTCTTCTTCTTCTTCTTCTTCTTCTTCTTCTTCTTCTCATGTTTGGTGGTACCCTGAATGCCAAGCGACTTGGCTGGTTTTTCGGGTCGGCGTCGGTGTGACGTTTTCACCTGGCGTTGGCCCTGGGCGGGGCCGCCGGGCCGGAGCGGGGTGTGGGAGAGAGGAAAAGAGACAGAGACAGATGCAGAGAGGGGGGTCTGTCCTTGTCCTTGTCCGACCAAGGTCCGGCCTGGTCCGGTCCGGTCAGCCCAACGACGAAACAAAAACAAACTCCTGCCAATATGGCGGATACACGGATACACAATATACTATAAAGAATTTTACAACGTTTATATCACGTTTTCTGACAATATCTGGGCGTCCTTACTGTAAAAGATACAGTTGCATTTTATTATGATAGATGAGGTAGATGAGGTAGATCGAGGTAGTACAAGGTAGTGCGAGGTTGTACTTATAAGGTAAGTGAGAGAAATTAAAAAGTTGGTGAGCCACCTTGAGTACAAGAGTTGAGCTTAAACAATTTTGGGAGAAAATATGTGAGTTGCCTACCCTGACTCTGGAGCGCGCCGGACCTTCCATGGTCTCCCACAGTCTCTGGAACGGGGGTTGGGCCGCGGGCATCCGACTCAGCAAGTTCATTTTAGGGGCCTTCTTCTTGGCTGGGATCATTTCTGAAACAAAAAGAAAAATATAATATATTAGCCAGTGACACATTCGAGGATATTGCGCAAAAACGTGAGCGTTGCTGTAAATATTATAGACCCAATTTTTTTTACGTCACTGCCCTTACAAAAATAATCAGTACCCAAACAGTCCCCAAACGGTCTCATTCAGTCCCCAAACAGGACCCATTCAGTACGTTCGCTGTGAGACTAGTGCGCTGCGAGGTCCGTTGAGCTGTGGGACTAGTGCGCTTTTCGGTCTCCCAGACGAGACCAGTGCGCGTTATTGTACGCTTGATCAGCGCCCTAGGACCCACGCGGTACCCTTTCCGAGCGCACTAGTCCCCAAAGAGTGACCGTCCCGCGCGCACTAGGGCGCGTTTAGTACTCATCGGAGGAGACTAGGGCGCGAAGAGGACGCGTCGCACGGGACTAGGGCGCTTTTGATACTCACCGGAGGGGCCTAGGGCTCAAAACAGTACGCGTGCCGCGGGACCAGGGCTCGAACAGTACGCGTGCCGCGGGACTAGGGCTCAAACAGTACCCGTACCGAGAGACTCGCGCTCAAACAGTCACTATGCAAGACTAATAATATAGGTGGCGTAGGGACTTGAAAGAACCTTCGAACACATTCGGCTAAGACCCAATAATATCGCAACTCGCTTATCAGCTGAGGATTAATTTACGCGGGGTCCATGAAATTATAGTGGGGCAATTCTAGACAAAAATTGTAAAAAAAACGTCCGTCAGATGACATTTGTGAGCGACTGAGAGGTGCTACGGGTTGTTGAAGCACATTACTATACGACTAGACGTGTTTTTGCAAGACGCTTCTAGGGCGTTTGGCAACAATACGTAGCACCTCTCAGTGCCGTCACTGACGGACACCCCTATCTGATTCAATAGAAATAACGACAAAAAATTAAAGATAAGATGCACTTTTTAAGCCCTACAAGGGCCTGTGCTTCCTGCCCACAGAAAGAGAGAGTGCAAAAAGTGTCGCTACTCTTTGAAGACTGCTGACAAACATTAATTTTAACGCATGCACATGGACCCGCCAGAGAAATAGTTACCTATTTGACGAGATAGTAGTGAAGTGAGCTTCTAGACAAAGATATATTTCAGCATAAGTTGAAGAAGCGCTGCATCGCCCTAAAGCTAGAGTCGAAAACTGCGTTCTTCTGCGCGCAGCCGTTCGCCTACACGAGCAGGCGCAAGGACTGCGTCGGCTGTGTCCCGAAAGAGGAGGCTGTCGGTTGCGCTCCTTCCCCATGTTACAGGTTGGCTCAGCGGTCAGGCGTCGACATCACCGGCAAGGAATCCGAGGAACCAGAGGACAAGGGAACGAATACGACCAAGCGCGGAGACGGAAATGGGACCAGTACGCAAAGAGTCCTCGCGCCGATTTAATTTTTGTTTCAGGCAAAAGGGGACTAGTACGCTTTTAGTACGCTCGGCTCGACGCACAGTCACTGTTTGCGCACTAGTCCCCTCCCACTAAGGGACGGGACCAGGGCACACGGAGGGCGTTTTTTCGTCACTTTTGGGCGTGTTTGAGACCAGTCCCCATGCGCCCGGACTAGTACCCAAACAGTACGCTCGTGGGGACTGAATGATCCCTGTTTGGGGACTGTTTGGGTACTGATTATTTTTGTAAGGGTGTGAAAAATATCGTCGTAAATTTACAATTTTGTTTGGAAACTCGAATTATAATTTGAGTTGTAAATTTACGAGAGCACATTTTTTACTCGCCAGTATGCACTTACAATACGTACTGCATGTACTTTAGCGATTACAAAATGTAATTTTACGACTTGCGTCAAGAAAATTTTTCCTGTAAACCTTTCACAGTGCGTAGACACGAAACCAAAACCAAATTTTAAAAGAAAATCGCTTTTCTTCAAACTTGAACGAGGACTGTTTTTACGAAGCAGTGTACCACTCAGGTGAGCAACCTCCGTGCGAACCTCCCCGCCCCGGCCCCCGCCAGCCGTCTAGCCGCGGCTAGTTTTCACTTTCTGCCTTTTCCTTCCGCGAGGCGGCGCCGCGGCCGCTTCAGCGCCCGGAGCCAGCCAGACTCCAGGCGGTGAGGCTGGAGACGAAAGGGTACTCGCCAAAGTCCTCAAAGTGCAGCTGAATCGAAAAGCAGTGGTTTTATGCTTTTGCGCGGGCCACGCGTCGACATGTGGCGTTTATTATTGACAGTGTACATGTCTGGTCTGAGCGCTTTCGGTTCGGTGACACTTGGGCTTGTTAAAGCTTCTCTATGCCCTTTCAGCCAAAGTAAAAGCGCCCTCTCACAGGTATAAAAATATTTCCGGATCCGGAAAACGTTGGCATGGCAGTTTAAAACTGATAAACGGTCAGATTGCGTTGAGTCCGCGCGCCAAAATTAAATGAAACGTAATGCGGGTCATCCCGTTTTTTTGCTTTGATAACAGTCAACCCGGTCAACCCTACTTGCACCCTCTTCGGGAAAAGAGACAGGAAGCAAAATAATTCATATGGTGACACTTAAAATTATGTAACGATTAAAAGTCATCACACCCAGCGCAAAAAATGTCAATAATTTTATTTATTTACAAATGTATATTTTAAGCAGCATCAGGTGGAGCGAAATTGACGACTAGTTATTCCTTTTCAGTGTTCGCAATCGCATGCCCCGTTTGTATTTAAAAATGCGCGGCGCAGTAGATGTGTTTGAAGGGTAGGTAAGTTGCGTGTTGTGGCGCGACCCTTACCCTAATACATCCTTAGGACACGGCAGAAAAAGAGAGCTTAATTTCCAAGCTTATACGTTAAATGTATTTGGTTTTCCGCAAATGTTCGCTCTAAATTAATCCTACGTTTCGGTTTGAAGGAATCTATGCACATAAATCCATAATTTTGTACAAGGGAATGCATAAAAAAGTTTAAATAAACTCAGAAATGTGAGCCAAAAAATTGATTCCTCAAGTCGTTGGGAATAAAAGATACAAATCCAGTTCGTGTGTACTAGACGCTTTAAACGTCATTGGACCGTACGCACTTCATGTGTAAGTCAAGTGCTGCACTGCGAAATTCTTGCAAAGAATTTTCAAGCATTGTAAGCAAGTTTGCATTGCAAACGATTTTCTTCGTAAGTTGCGAAGAAAATGGTTTGCAA